CGCTCCCCAAGTGTTTGTAACAACTGCGTTTGCCTTATGGCCTTGAGCAAATAGGAAGATTGGAAGTGCATGTGGTCTTCCTCCTCCATCTCCCTTTGGGTTAAATCCTAGTCTCCTGATTATCCATTAACCAAAACCCATTATTACACTAGGCCACCGCGGAATGCACATAATAGTTGCAAGCTTTGAGATCAAATCATTTGTACTTCGGTCTAAAAGTTCGGGTTACCAAAAGTACTAACCAGTATCGGTCTTCAACGAGAAAATCGTCAGAGTAATAGAATTTATCTTCCAAGGTAGAGAAATGAAGTATCTTCCAAGTGAAAACATTGTTAGGAGGGTTTGATATGAATGTGACTTTCTCTTGTTGCTGGGCCGGGCTAACGATGAAGATCTCAGCACCAAAAGAACCAGTGTCCTGCTCAATGTACCCTTCATTCGTGTTGTAAAATGTTGATTGAGGAATCAATTGTCCGTATCCCCACTCTTTTTTAGCATTGTTGTATCGCTTCACTGTTCCATCTACAATCCACAAAAAAAAAAAAAACTCTAAATCACAATCAACTCGGTTCATGTAATAATGAGACTAATATTTGAAATCTACAATTGCCAAGTAAAAGTAGCATTGGCTAGAAATAAACTTGGCCACTATATCTATAAAGATGTCTATATACATTTATTTGTGTACCTGTAACAGTCAAATATTTGTGTAGCTTCCCATTGTGGACAAAGAGTTTGAGATCAACATTCACTTCCCAGCCTACTGGAAGAGATTCTGTCTCTTCGATCCTCGCATAAAGTGAAATATGATCATTTCCACCGTCGTTTGGATTACCATTCACGTACAACACCAATCTCCTGATTTTTATTTTCCAACAAAATTAGCTCAAAAAATAGAATTAATTATTTTTTAAATAAAAATGGAGAAAGTGTAAGATCTGAACCATTTGTAACCAGCAGCCTCAAAAACAGAGGATTCATAGGGTTCTCCTCTCCCTTTAATCACTGAGAAGCTTGTTATTGTCACTATCTTACTCGATGGTCGCTCTTCTCTCAACACTCTTGTCACTCCTATCAACCAAAAAATATCCAAGAAAATCAAGATCGAAATGGGTTCCAGTTTTTATCCAAAAAAACCCTTAAAGACCAAAAAGAAAGTCGATTTCAGACAACACAAGTGTACCAAGATTCTCATTGAGAATGTAAGAACTGTTGTACTCTGTTCCTCTTCCCTGTGTGACCTATATTTTTAAGTTTCATGTTAAAAACTACTTCTAGTAAAAAGCTAATCCATTGAAAAAGAGCTTTAAGAACAAAAATAAAGAATCATACCTGTTGAATGATGAACTCAGCTGAAGAGGAGGTAATGAAGAGAAAAGCGAGAGATATGAAACCTAGACTCAGTTTTTGACTATCCATATTTTGAGATCTGGGTTTTCTTTGGGAAAGGTGTACATTTTTATATAGACAGAGAGACATCTAAGGTTACATATTGATCCAGTTTAGTTATTTTTTATTATTACTAATATAAAATACTGAAAGTGGATTAGTCGTGGGAAAAACAATATATTTTACATATTCATTTTTATTATACATAAAAGTAACATATTCATTTTGAACATATGTTTGACTTAGAATGTTGTTACTTTTATGCCATTTTCCAAGTAACCTGTGTACTTTCTCCGTTTCGTTTTAGTTGTCGTTTAAAGTTTTTTCACACAAATTAAAAAAAGTATTAAATTTTCTATTTTACCTTTTATTAATATATTTTATAAAAAAATTCATTGGCCAAAACATTAAAACAGTAGGGATAAAACTGGAATTTTCACCAAACATTTGCATTGAAAACCTAAAACGATAACTATTTTGAAACAAAATTTATAACATAAAACGACAACTAAACTGAAACGGAGGGAGTATTATTTTCTATGGATTTGTGGGAGATCTGGAGGTAGTGGGTGGCAACTGGCAAGTGTTCAAAAATATGATTAAATCTTTTTAGCAAAAACGTTTTACACGAGATCTTATTTATTGCAATGATCGACTCAGTGTCAATGGTATATCACTATCATCGCAGAATTCATAATTATCCAAATTTTATATTAGACACGAGAGGAGCAACGCCCATGTTCAATTCGAAGGCATTTTTGGGTCCACTGGGAAAAAGGTAGATGTTAAATTTTAGTGTACGCGATGAATGGAAAATAGGGAACCAAAACTGCATAGCGGTAAAGAAAATAGGTTTTTATTTAAAATAAATACTCTCTCCGTTCCACAAAAATGGACTGTTTAGAAAAAAAATTTGTCGCATAAAGATAGAAGTTTTGTGTTTCTAATGTCAAATTTAAAACAGTTTACCTATTTTACCCTTATTAAATAACAATAAATAATATACTCTTTAAAATGTGTTAAAAGGTGAAAAGGTTAAAATTGTTATTATACATTATTTCTTAAAGAATGTGAAATTTTTTAAAAAATTATCTTTGTGGGACGGAGGGAGTAAGTTATTTTCTATTTTTTTATTTTGAAAAAAGTATAAAAGATAATAAAAAAAAGTGTGGTTTATTTTACTTATGTGTAATTTTTTGGTTCGGTACCAATTAGCCATAAATGTGTGACCAATATCGTCTCCGGTTTATTTTTGGTTCTAAACCAATTGGCCATAAACTGTGGTTTAGTCTTAGTCTATAAGTTTAATAAAAAAAAGGAGAAAAAAAAAAGAATTAGGCTATGAATAGATAACACGGAACTCATAACAAAACGGTACCGTTCTTTTTGTCTTTTCACAATACTTATCTTTGGTTCCGTACTAATTAGGCATAAAGTGTGTTTCAATTTTACTATCACAAGTGGATATATTGCTTTTACTTTTGTTTAATTTTTTGCCTTCCTAAAAAAAACAGTTTCTTGCACCCTCTCGGCAAAGACCGATCAAACCGATCCGATCAGTCCAAAATTTTTGGTTATCGACGTAGACTGAAGAGAGTAGACCAAACCAAACGTCAAAATTAATTTGGACGATCGGCTTTCGGATCAGGTCGGTTCGGTAATCGGGCCGATCGGTTTTATTTGATTATGCAGCCCATTAGCAATTATGGAGCCCATTAAGAGGCATATATAAGCCTAACCCTAACTCATTAATCCTAATTTCATTTCTCTTCTTCTTCGCCTCTACTGCATGCGATTCCGAGAGAGAAAGAGAAATTCTCATCTCATCAGTTCATCCTTCTTCTCTGATCTAAACATCATCTCATCATCTCTTCTCATTCATCAATTCATCATCTTCTACACTTTTTCATCTTCTTACCCTCGTCATTCTACGCCCATTTCTCAGAAGTTCAACCCGTAAACCGTAAACAAGAAATTCGTAGAGGTCAGCTCTTCGTTCTACTTGTAGCTAATTCATTAGTCCACTAAGATCTGTTTCCAACTCGATAATACTTGGATGCAAATTGGAATCCCAAATCCCAAATCGATAGATTTGACACGTGTCACGATCACGTCAGTTATTAACTTTGAAAACATACTTTATATAATAAGATTATTTAGCCGTATTTTCCATTGTTTTTGGTTTATAGTAAAACATATTTTATTTTATTTTTATTATAAATTTTCAAACTATTTAATATAATATCAAAATTTCTTTTATTTTGAGTGCTTGCATGGAATATATCTACACATTTTTCAAAATTAATATAAACTTATTTATAAAAATTATATCATCAACACTTAAACCAAAACAAACTGAAATGTGGATGTTATTTTTTTTATCAGTGAAGTGTGGATCTAGCGTAATCTATTGTTTCGAGAAAAGTTTTAATAGATTATCACAAAAAGGTGTGCAAATCAAGATAAAGTTATGGTATATATTTAAATCATTTTCTTAATATATACTATTTTAACCCACACATCGTGTGAGCAATTTTCTAGCATATAATAGGTTACAATTTCATCAACTTACATGCTTAAGCTCCTGATTGCCACCATTCTACAATAGTTTTAGTTATACCAACCAAGCCCATAACCTATATATATGACAATCAATTCATTTCCAATAGTTTTGAGTTGGAAGCTTATGAGTTTTCAAATGAACTCATAATCACTTATTTAGTAATTAGTATTAAAATCTAATAGACACAAATGGGTATAACCAATCTAAAACAAAAGTTGGATTTGATCCGAGAAAAATGAATTTATATTCTCGAGGGAGCATGTTTATATATTTCACATTGGAAGCAAAGATATTTCAACACAAATATTTAGTACATATGCATTTTCTCACCTATTGCTAATTAATTTTGAGTTAGAATCTCATTAAACTTGATATATATAATATCAACTGATACTAATGCGAAATGCTTAAAATGGAAGTGGTAAAAGTGGTAGAAATGTTAGAAGCGCGGAGTGAAACATATACTGGTTGATGAACTTTCAAGATAAATGCGGTTAACTTAATGAGAGGAATTAATATAGTGGTCAAATTAACGTTATACATTAAAAAATGTAGATCAAGCTAGGGAGTGACTCTTACTCCAACGGGCAACGGTCGTATATTTTGGGTGTACAATTCATTCCAAGAGCGAAAGCAAAAAAATAAATATACCTTGGAACTTGAGTTTATAGGTATAGGTAAATGACCATTCAACCCAATTTCGATATGATTGAGCTTTAAAAATGGTTCAATAGACCTAGGAGCAAAAAACGGACAGGATTTTACTTTACTTTTTCCTAAGTTCAATCTAGATTTTGGTTATATTTATTTTTTGGTTAGTGGATGTTAGAATTATAGAGAATGCCAGAATGGTATGAATAAAATTATAATTTGCATCGTACGACTTAGATTTTTTACATATTTAGTATCTTTCTAAAATGTTATGCAATACTTTTTCTTTTGGGTTACGTTCTGTTTGAATTTGGCTACAAAAATTGAAATGATGTGAAGTAAATTATAAGTTTACTCCATATAGGTCGACTTTATCCAGAAAGTTAACACTTCATCATGTCCCCAACATTTTTCAAAAAATTTAAAACCCTGAGAGTTTCATTTTCATTGATAACAAAACAGAAAAGAGAAAACTCAGAAAACCAGAAACAAAGACTACATCACAAACATCACAAACCATCTCTTTCTTCCTAAGGTTGTTTGAAGTATGGTAAAGAAGTAGAGATCTTTAAACGGAGACGAGGTTCGTCACAGAGACCGTAAGCATTTCAGCTTCAATTATAATGGCATCATTCACCAAATATCCTTTCGATGCATCCTTTACATCTGCTAATGGTATAGTATTCACTCCCAAACCGTATCCGCTTAGAACCAGGTACCAATATTCAGCTGCAAAGAAAACACAACATAATAAGATTTACATTAGCTACTATTAGTTTCATTCATTGTTTATTTTCTCTCTTGGAGATAAACTTTTTTTCTTTGGTTAGTTTTCTTACTAAATGATGTTATGTGGTTGGTGTTTCGTTGATTCTTTAACCGCAGATTAGCTGCTCCATAAGTGGTTGCTTCAACTGCGTTTGCCTTAAATCCTTGAGCATATAAATAGATTGGGACTAAACCTCCTTTCGGGTTAAATCCTAATTTCCTGATTATTCATTAACCAAAATCCCTTATTATACTCAGGCCACTGTGAAGTCACGTAACGATGAGATCAATTTTTTTTTTTTTTTTTGAATACTAGGAGGTTTTGGGCCAAAGCCCGTAATACCTCAGACCCGAAACTACAGCATGTAATATTAGTAACGTCCCAAACGTCACTCAAACCGGCGACCTCTAAGCTTCGTCTAGGACTTTACCAGTTGAGCTAACGACACTTGGTAGATGAGATCAATATTATGAATCATTATGTAATACGATGAGATCAAGTACTAACCAGTATCGGTCTCCAACAAGAAACTCGTCAGATTTATAGATTTTATCTTCCAAGGTAGAGAAATGAAGTATCTTCCAAGTGAAGACATTGTTTGGAGGGTTTGATATGAATGTGACTTTCTCTTTTAGGTTGGACCGGTTAACGATGGAGATCTCGGCACCAAAAGTACCAGTGTCCTGCTCACGGAATCCATCGTTCCCGTCGTAGTAAGTTGATTGAGGAATTAGTTGTCCGAATCCCAACTCTTTTGTCGCATTGTTGTATCGCTTCACTAATCCATCTACAATCCACAATTATGCAAAGAAAAAAAAAAATAAACACTCCAAATCACAACCAACTAGGTTCATGTATTAATTAATCTTGGCCAATATTTCTAGAAATAATTTGATGGATCTAATATTTGTTTAAAGTACCTGTAACAATTAAATATTTGTTTAGCTTCCCATTGTAGACAAAGAGTTTGAGATCAACATTCACTTCCCATCCTATTGGAAGAGATTCTGTCTCTACGATCCTCGCGTAAAGTGAAACATGATCTTTTCCACCGTCGTCTTGTTTACCATTCGTGTACAAAACCAATCTCCTGATTTATTTATTTTTCATCAAAATTATCTCAGAAAATATAATTAAATTAAATAAAAAAAATGGATAGAGTGTAAGATCTTTACCATTTGTAACCAGCAGCCTCAAAAACAGAGGATACATAGGGTGCCATTATGCTCCTAATTATTGAGAAGCTTGTTATTGACAGAATCTTATCCGCTGGTGGCTCATCCCTCCACACTCTTGTCAGTCCTACGAAGAAAACAAATTCCAAGAAAATCAAGAAAATGGTTTTCAGTTTTAAGTTTTAACCAAGAAAATCTAAAGAAAGAAAATAAGTGTACCAAGATTCGTCGTGAGACTGTAAGAACTGTTGTACTCTATTCCTCTGCCTTCTGTGGCCTAATTTTAGTAAAAAATATTAATTTTATTCATTGTGAAAAACTACTTTTTAGTATAAAAAACACGTATCGATAGAAAAAAGTGCTTAAAAGAAAGAACCTGTTTAATGAGGAGATCAGCGGAAGAGGAAAGTGATGAAGAGAAAAGCGAGAGATAGTAAACCTAGACTCCATTTTTGAGTATCCATATTTTTGAGATCTGGTTTTTGTTTTAGTAAGGCTTTACACTATTAAAGTTACTTATTGATCGAGTTTAGTTACAAATATATAATACTGAAAGTGGACTCGTTATGCAACCAATAATACACACATTCAATTTTACTGTAAAGGGTCAGATTTGAGATTTCGATTTGGTTATAGTTTATTTTATGTCTATTATTACACAATATTTCTGTGGATTTGGGAGAGATCTCGAAGTAGTGGGTGGGAATGAAGTGTTCAAAATATGAAGTTTTAAGCAAAACGTTGGCCACACGAGATGTTATTATAATGATCGACTCAGTGTCAATGGTATATTGTATCACTAATTCACTATCACCGAGGTTTGATAATATCCATATATTGTTAAAATAGTATCACCAAAACCAACTATATCAATTGAGTAAATTCATCCATATAGTTTTATATTTATTTTTTTGGATTTCTAAACACAGTAGACTCGACTTATCTAATCATTTATCTCGTCAAAATTTTATTATATAATTAACTAGTAATGAATCTAGGCTATGACCGAACTTAAAAATATCTAGGCTATGACCGAACTTAAAAATATCTTTTTAATTCAAGAAGATATTTTAGTTTCATGAATCATGGTGGGTGAGTATTTGTTTTTCTATTTTGATTAAATTTGTTGCTGTATTTAACTGAAAAAATTAGAAAATCAAAAATACAAAACAGTTCTCCATATAGTCTGTTTGAAGAAAAAAAAAAAAAATAGTCTGTTTAAGTTTTACATTAAATTTGTGTCTTTATTCTTTTGCCATAGTCCATGATATCACTTCTATCTAAAACTATGAGAATCTTGTTCTTTTTTGGTATAGCAATGACTGCAAAATTGGACCGGATCACTTAGTTAACGTCTTTTTCATATTGACGTTGGCTCAATGCCTTAGCTCTGTTCCAATCCCCTTCTCGTACGTCCTCATCTGTTTTCCTTCATTTAATCTCTCTTCCTACTATTAAAAGTAAGGTTTTTTTTTTTTACTTTTATATTTTTTACTTTGCTCCAATTCCTTACTTTTACTGTTTAGCACTTAATTATTATTTTTATTGAATTTAATGTTAAATTAATATTAAAAAAAAAACCAACTTGTATACAACTGTTTCTACTTTTTAATGTATAATCAGATATTAGAGTTTAACCCTAAAAGAGACGGAGAAGGAAGCAGAGCCGGCGCTGACATATGAAAGACCACAAGCGAAAAAAAAATTTGGGCCAGTTTTTACAGAAAACGAGAAAAAAAAATAATAAAGCATTTTGGCAGCTTCAAAGGTTCGAATCTAGGAAAGAAAGGAGAGCAACCTAAGATCTACCACTAGACTAAAGCTGATTTTAAAAAATAGAGGCCGAAATCTTTATATAAAATAATCGGCCGCAAGCATGGGCTTCATTAGCATGTCCCAAGGGCCGGCTCTGGGAGGAAGACCACATGCACTCCCTATCTACCCTAAAAGATATGGAGGAGGAAGACCACATGCACTCTCTATCTACCTGTAGGCTCAAGGTGTAACACTCGTCCCGCCTTATAGGCCAAGACAACGTGTTATTCATCTGGTCTCGGCAAAACGCTTAATTCTTTAAATATTCAAAACTTGTTCAACATTTCATAAAGCTTATTAACCTGAAGAAAAAAAGATAAAAGGGGTAAACACAATGCCGAAATTCTAATCACACTCAACAATCAGTGCATAATATAGAATCAGACTCCAAATGTATAAACCTTAGGTCCAGGCCGTGATAATGAGTAAAAAAAGGTATTTGCCTTAGGCCCCCTCTAAATTAATCAAATTTTGGCCCAAAATTTTAAATAATTATATAGAATATTAGTAAAATATTTTTATTTTTAGTGCTATTTTTATTAAGTTTGAAAATTTTGTTTAAAATATCAAAATAATTTTTATTTATCTCTAATAATTTACAATATAATGTTTTGAATATTAGTATTTATATAGATAAAAAAATGTTAACTAAGAAAATAGAATACAAAAATTGTATAAAATTATATATTTATAGTTAATTACTTAATTTTACAAAATGTTATTTTCATAGATTAAGAACATAGTGTTTAATATCTCTATTTTATTAAAAAGGATATTTTTAGTTTTAGTTATAAGTTATAACACATTTTATTATGAAAATGTATAAATCCTCTCGGGTTTTTTTTTTTTTTTTTTTTCGGCCATCAAAACATGTGTAAGTCTAGGCTAAGAAATGATTTACTAAAATCATTCTATTTAACCAGTCGAAACGGCGTATGTTTTAGGTCCATTAAAAAAATATGATAAATAAGTTATTCGACAATTCCACTTAGCCCTAGGCGTTCGGTTGTATGGTTCGGTTATTCGGTTATTCGGTTCTAGGCACTTGGGATCCATAAAAGAACCGAACTGTTTTCGGTTCGGTTCGGTTTGGATACTTGAGAATAGAACCATAAGATAACCGAAATACCTTCAGGTATGGTTCGATTCGGATATTTACCCACCAAATAACCAAACTATCCAAATAACCGAACCATTACCCGAATAAAAACAGATTGTAATACTAATAATGTATGCAAATATGAACTAAAAGCTTCAAAATGCAATAATTCAAGTTGCAAATCCAAAAAAGGAGTTTCCACAGTTCAGTCCAGAGAAATCCATAACAAACTAACAATATTCTAGAGTTCCAAAATCTAAATCCGCAACAAAATAACAAAGTTCAAACTTCAAAGAGACTTAAGAGTTGAAACCGCAACAAAATAATCAAGTTCAAAAGAGACTTGAGAAAGAAAGAAAGAGAGAAAGAGAGATTAGAGTATAGATTATTAGATTCTATAAGCATCTTCAAGTCCTTTATGATAAATCGATGATGATGAATTTGATGAGGTGAAGAACCGAAAATGATGATTGATGAATGGATTTGGAGGTGATGAGCGGTGAATGAAAATTAGGGTTTCGTGTTTGTGATTTGGGGATCGGAACTCGGGAGAAGACAAAAACGAGTGAAATGTTTTGTTGTTGTGTCGTGGGTAGGGACGTAGGGTTAGGGTATAAGGCAAAAAGGGCTTGGGCTTAATGGGTTTAGGGGATAAGAGAAATGGGTTTGGGCTTAATGGATTTAGGTATAGGCCTCTTAAATCAAATGTGTTTGGTTTAAAATGGACATCCATGGATATCGGTTCTGTTCGGTTAATAACTGATATCTTTGGATAGTTGAAATGAGAACCATTCGGTTATTTAACAATATCCGAAACCAAAAATTTTGGATACTTTCGATTCGGTTTGGTTCGGTTTTCCGAGTTCGGTTTTTATTCCTAGGGCTAGTTCCACTTCCACTCATTTTGGAAAGATTAGTCAAATAGTAATAATCCGGATTACCCCTATTTATCAAAAATATATATACAAACACACAAAAATCTCTTAAAGTATTTAATATATATACGTTTAGGATTCTTTACCTTCACAAAATAGAATAAAAGAATAACCGAAAATCATGGTTCTTAAAAATTTTGACCCGGAATTGATTTGATTTTGACCCGAAAATGAGTAATCGGATCTTTAATTTTTCTTAGACTTTCCAAAAAAATCAGTCGGATCTTACCTTATTGCCTTCACTCCTACAAAATAGGTAAACGTAATTAACAACCTTTGATTTTGGAAATATATCAATCATATATAAGAAAATCATAATTTTTATTTGGTAACTAAATCTTACAAATAATAATAAGAAAATCAAAACATATATTTGGTAACTAACATTAGGCATATTCTCTACACATTCGAATATTAAAATCTTGCCTAAACCAAATGATCTGTAATCTTTTACGATATTCCATCGTATCTATATTGTTATTATGTGAAATCGTAATCTTTCCTTACACATTTGTATCATTCAGTGTAATTGATCATCAAATCCAAATTTGTTTAATAAATCTAAGATTTCCTACTTTCTCTCCAAGATAGTGTGAAATCAATTCAGTCTAAACCCTAGACATTCTTGCATCTATATATATATATATATATATAACAATAACAATCGTTAATCAAGTTCACAACTCATCAGAGCAAATACCTCATTTTATGTTTTGAAGTTTTGGCGGATTGAAGAATATAGAGGTGTTCACTAATACTCCTAAGAAATTATTGAGTTGTTTCTTTGTTCCTATATTGTATGATACCTTATCTAATGACACATATTTTTTAGGTCAACGATGTCTCCTTAATGGAATTAGATGAATTTTACCTTGATCCGAAATTTTCAGAACTTGAATTGATCTAGGAAATGTTATTTTAGTTTCTCCCTTTTTTGTACAACTTATCTATGAACTTAATAGGCAACTATACTAATAAGTTTTATATGTTTTTTCTTGCAGGTCTCTCTTTACATCTTTGCCGTTCATTGCAAGGAATATCAGAAATTTATAATCGGATGAAGAAGGGGAGATGGAAAGTGTTGGTGAGAAGTGAGAACTTTTAATTGTTTGAATATTATGTTAAATTACATGGGGTACAGAGTCTTTGTCTTCTAAACTGAATCTTTGTTTTTGAATATTGTATGTTTAAGGATTTTATGTGTACAATATTTTGTATTCACCTCTTAATTTTTAAACCGTTATCACGATAAAAATCTTTCAACACAAATTATGGAAAATTATCGATTTTGTTTTTTTCCAAGTAGCAAAAAATAATTGATATAAACGGTGAATTACTGATATAAATTTTGCTGTAAACCAAAAGCATATGATATACAAAGCATCTCAATTCAAGATACTGAGTTCTTTTATAAAAGTTTGAGCTGGTTTAGAGTTGGTACACATTAGACCTTGCATATTACCAAACCAAATAAATCGTTTTTTCTCCTTTGTGTTTAGCGAGTAACCGCAAATAAACCGGCTGAACTACAAAGCATCCGGTTTGGTCCTGAATAGTCACGGTTTATTTTGGTTTTGACTTTAATAGAATTCAAATAACCAGAGCTAAACCGGACCACAACATCCCTAACTACAAAGAGAAAAAAGGATTAAATTATTCAAAATATAATATGACTTACTTTTTCTAATTTGATAAAAGAATAAAAATATTTAAACGTGACAACAATTATTTCGATAAAAAGGTTTAAGAGGTCGGGGAGCAAATGGTAGAACGAGTTATAATTAACATTAGTGTGATTTAGGATGAGTCAAATGGAAGTGTTAAACTTCTTTGACACCTCTAAAATATTATAATTAACATTAACAAAATATTTGGTTTGATTTTGACCCGAAAATCTTTAATGGGATCTTTCATTATTGGCTTTTATTCTTAAAAGAAATTTAAACAAAATTAAATGATTAATTTTTAAAATATAGAAATCGCATATGTAGTTATAACAAACAATTATTTGCTAACTAAATGGTTTCCTATTTAAATGCTAACAACAAAAATTAAACTGGAAAATGCTAAAAATGATTTCGATATTCAAGAGCAACAAGAGCAA